CAAATAAATCTGTTAGTCTTTAAGGTGCCACCAGACTCCTTGTTGTTTTTCCTTCCTTAGTGTAACTCTGGATTGCTAGAAAAAGCCTCAGAATTAAACCTCCCACATTACTGTGAACCCGTTTTCTCTCCGAAAGCACTGGGAGTCATGCTGAAATTATACCTTATGTCCCAGAATTCGCTGCACCTCCATGCATCCTCCCAAAATGATGTCACGTGTCCTTTAACACACAGCTTCTGAATGCTGTCCCTCCTCCCACCCAGATGAAATGCATTTCTTCCTTTCTGAACCCAACGCCCAGCCCTGCTCCATGTCTCTCCACATTGCCCTTACTTCTGAAAGTAGTGCAACATACCCTTTTCTCCCTGACCTGACACGCTGCAGTCAAGTACAAGGAAGTACAGAACAGAGCTCAAAAAATGTATGCTGTTATTTCTCCTCTGTAGTGAGGAGCTGTTATTACAGCCAATTGGAAAAGACACCCCAACCACCTCCTCGAGTCCCACCATACCATTATCTCTGGCGTCTCTGAAGCAGAAACATCAGAGCTCCTAGCCCCCACCTCCCAACCGGGTACAGCTAAGAGTGGCTGCGAGGGGAACCTGTCACGTCCCATCATCCAGTCACTGGGGCTGGGTGCAATCTCCCTTGGCCAGTGGAGTATATACAGAGTTCGCTGTGAAATCCTCCCTCTCTTGTGCGTGTTCAACATCTTTTACGGCGTATTTCATGGTGACTGTTCTGTAATCTGTGCCCACAGCTGTGTGTGTGAACGAGACCTGTGACTGTTGTATATTGTGGTGCTGTCTCTTTAAAACGTGTCATGCTGCCATGTCCTCCCCTTGCCAGGGAGCTCTCACGTGAGGCAGAGACACTCGGCGGCTGCCTGCTCCGTCTGCAGGAGCCATCTTGTTATGTCTGTAGTAAAAAGGTACATGTGTCTGGTCTCACTCTGGCTTCCTGCAGTACTCGGGCTGCAGCGCGCTCACAAAGACAGTGACACCCGCAGCTGCGGCTGTGCAAGCAGCGCTGTCTGGCGTTAGCAGTGACCCCAGGCTGCAGGAAGTAGCTGTTTTTGCCAGGACACAGCGTGTCAGTAAATGGTGCAAACTGCAACACACACAGACAAGAAGCTGCAATGCACAAACCAGCAGAAACCAAACAGAAGGCACAGAGAATAAAGACACAGTGAGTACACAAAAGTGAAGGCAAAATTAAAGCAGTTAAACTAGAAAATAGTATTAAAAAAATCCTGAGCAGGGAGGATTGCAAGTCAACCCCGCCTTTATCTTTCTTTTGTGATCTTGCTGAAAATTGAAGGAGATGGGAACAAATCTTCCAGATCTGTATGAAAACCTCAGGAGCAGATAAAAAAGAACAGGGCATAAAAGTAGCCATTTTACTGCACATAGTGGGAGAGGAAGCTCTGGAAGTTTATAACATTCTTACAGCAGCCAGCTGAAAATGCTTCAGTTTTGGATGAGATCTTAACAGTGCTTAGAAACTACGGCAACCGTAAGAAAAATGTTGTCTTTTGAACGGTACCAATTCTGTAGTGGTCTCACCTACACTTAGGGGAAGAGCAGATAGACAAGTATGTCATAGAGCTGAGGCAAAAAGCAAGAAATTGAGAGTTTGGAAATACTGAAAATGATATTCTCTGGTACAGTACTGTGTTCAGTGTCACTGATAAAAGGCTAAAGGAAAGGTTGTTGAGGAAAGTGGAAACCTGATTTGGGCTTGCAGAAAGCAATAGGCATTTGCGGAGCCTCACAAAGACACAAAATAGAGATCCCGTCTTGGCCACATACTGACAAGTTTGTAGAGGCTGTTATACAAAAGAATACTCAGGGCATCATGGGGAGGGCCCAGCTGCTGGTGAGTCCGAGCAAAGCAGACACACCAACCACTCACACAAAATTTCTGTACACACTGTGGTATGACAGACAGCCTATGGAAAAACATGTCACAAATGTGGAAAATTAAATCCCTATTCTATTTGCAGAGTTTAATCTTAATATTGGGGTGGAAGCTAAATGTTTTCTAATTCACCGTTTGAGAAAGAGAGCAGGTCCCATCCAGATAAAGCAGTCTGTTGTTGTGCTTATAGCATATGGTGATTCCAGAATATACTCTTAAGGGGAAGTCACCTTAACAGTGGCAACTGTTAAAGCTAAGGTCAGTCTCCAATTGAAGACTTCACCTTAGTGATGAAGACTTAATCGCTAAGGCATTTACAACACTACTGTTAGGCAGAGAAGCTTGCATACAGGTACACCTAATATGTATGTGGGTATGCTGCATACCAAAGCACCCAGCACTAAAGAAGAATTGATTGCCCAACACCTGGAATTCTTCAGGGGACTAGGAGAGTTCTGTGGGAAACATCACAGATATACAGACCCATCAGTCACCATTGTCATGCATGGCTGCAGAACTACACCTTTTGCAGTGACAGAGACTCAGAAATTCACTCAGACAGTTAAGGAAAGAGTCATAGCCAAAGTGAACTCACCCACTCCATGGGTTAGCAGTTTAATCATAACTGAGACAAGGTATGGGAAAATTAGGATTTGTTTGGATCCCTGATGCCTTAATAAGACTATATTGAGACAGCATTACTCTATCCCCACACCAGTAGATGTCCGTTGCTGACTAGCTGGTAAAAGCATATTCATTATGCTAGATAAGAAAGATAAGATAAGTCTCCATGCCTTAGTGAGGAGTCAGTGAAGGCAGGAGTCCCCGGGCGGCGGCGGCGAGAGAGCCCCGCGGGCTGCCCAGGCAGCAGCAGCCGGGGCACGTGGCAGGAGTCCCCGAGCGGCAACGGTCGAGAGTAGGGTGACCAGATGTCCCGATTTTATAGGGACAGTCCTGATTTTTGGGTCTTTTTCTTATATAGGCTCCTATTACCCCCCACCCTTGTCCCGATTTTTCACATTTGCTGTCTGGTCACCCTAGGCGAGAGTGCACCGCGGGGCTCCACAGAACAGCAAAGGATATGCTGAGAGGAAGCCATCAATGACTGCAGATAGGAGCCATGGAACTAGTTATGTGACTAGAAGGAGTTGGGCTCAGAGGCAGATTGTCTCCAGATGAAAGGATATGTGGTACCATTTCACAGAACTGTATGTGGTAAAAGTGTAAGGTGATGGTAGTGTAAGAATTTCTAGAACTAGGGATTATATAGTCACTATAAACCCCTGGCTGGAGATGGACAAGTATCTACTTCCTAAACCACAAGATTTATTTGCAAAACTGACAGAGGGAATGAAGTTGAATAAACTAGACTTGCATACCAGCAGATGGCAATGTAGCCAGATGCAAAAAAAATTCTGTCCACAAAAGGGGTATTTAGGTATGAAAGATTACCCTATGGGGTAGCTAGCACACCTGTTCTGTTTCAATGAATAACAGATCAGGTACTGCAGGAGGTAAATAGTGGTGTCTGTTATTTTGATGATTTATTAATAACCGGGAGGACTTCAAAGGAACATTTAAAATATGTAGAGGGGACACTAAAGAGATTACAAAAATATGTTTTAAAGTTAACAGAGATGAGTGTGCTTTTTTTTTCAAAATCAGGTTACTTGTTTGAGGCATTGTGTAGATGCAGAAAAGGTTTACCTATTAAAAGAGAATATAAAATCAGTTGAGAACACTCCAGTGCTATAGACGGTCTCAGAGCTTAGATTGTTTCTAACCGTGTTAAATTATTATGAAAGATTAATTCCAAATTTACCAACATTAATTGCAGAAACTATAAAGTGGGTTTGGAAGGAAAAGAAACATAAAACTTTTGAGGTAGTGAAAAGGAAACTAGTTCCAGCCTATTGGTACATTGTAATCCTGAGCTTTCCATAACTAGGGCCCTGAGAAATTCGCAACTATGCAGAAATTGTGGAATTAGCCTAGTACTGCAGTTTTTCCTACAGCAGGGAAGTAAAAGTGGGCACCTGTACGTTCTGGTCTCATGCTCAGGAAAATCTGTAGCCTCACATGAACTTCTGCTTCGACGTAACACTGCCTGTGGATGCCTGCTTCTGTCACTCCGTTGTAGGGGAAATCACAGCAGTTTGGGGTGATTCAATGTCTGCTTTTATACAAAGGAATGTAGCAGTGACCTTTCACTGATGGCATTCTGTGTATGTCCTGTGAAATTTGTTACTTTACCTGTGACAGTGCTGTAATTAAAAAACAAACAAACAAAAAAAAGATTTTCTCAGGGCTCTACCCATAATCTAAATTTAAATTATTAAATAAATAAATAAAAAATAAATAAATGGAGATATCCTATCTCCTAGAACTGGAAGGGACCTTGAAAGGTTATCGATTCCAGCCCCCTGCCTTCACTAGCAGGACCAAGTACTGATTTTGCCCCAGGTCCCTAAGGAGTTTTTTAAGTATATGAGGAACAAAAGAAATCCTAGCTATGGTATAGGCCCATTACGAGATGGAGATGGTAACATTAGAATATCAGGGTTGGAAGGGCCCTCAGAAAGTCACCTAGTCCAACCCTTTGCTCAAAGCAGGACCAATCCCCCAGACAGATTTTTTTTACCACAGTTCCCTAAATGGCCCCCTCAAGGATTGAACTCACAAGCCTGGGTGTAGTAGGCCAATGCTCAAACCACTGAGCTATCCCTCCCCCAAAGTACCTGGAGATGCTGGGGAATGAGCCCAAGGCCTTGTACATGCAAAGCATGTGCTCTACCACTGAGGTACAGCCCCAGATCTAACCTAACCTGTGACGCCTCTCCTGGAGGAATTGGGCCTGTCATTTCACACATTTGTAAAGATGGGAGTGAAAAATCCATAGCATTTGCTTGCAGAACATTATCAAAGGCTGAAAGATAAGACTCACAAATTAAAAAAGAAGCGTTAGCATCATTTGGGAGGTTATTAAATTCCATGAATGCCTGTTTGGGAAACAATTTACCTTAATCACTGATATAGAATCATAGGGTTAGAAGGGACCGCAAGGTCATCTAGTCTAACCCCCTACTAAGATGCAAGATTTGTTGTTTCTAAACCATCCAAGACAGATGCTGTCCAGCCTCCTTTTGAAAACCTCCAGCGGAGAAGCTTCCACAATCTCCTGAGGCAGTCTGTTCCATCGCCATATTGTTATTACCATTAGGAAGTATAATCCACAGGTAAAAATACTGGGCCCAAAGGTGTTCCACCACTAGTGGCAGCAAGGCTGAAGAAATGGGATTTGATCATAGCTGCTTACCCGTATGACATTTATTATAGACCATCAGAAAAACATGCTACCGCAGAAGCACTCTCCTGTTTGCCCCTTTACACAGGGAAAGAGTGAGGAAAACTCTGCGTATGGAGTCTCTTTCCTAGATGACCTTCCTATTACAGCTAATGAAATTGCTCTGGAAATAAGAAAAGATCCCATTTTGGTTAAGGTGATGCACTACGCACTATCAGGGTGGCCAAATCATATAACATAACAACTTTGCTCGTACTATTTCAGGAAACTGGAGTTATCCCTGTAGGATGGTTGTTTACCATGGGGACTAGGGTTGCCTGGTGTCCAGTTTTCGACTGGAATGTCCGGTCGAAAAGTGACCCTAGTGGCTCCGGTCAGCACCACTGACCAGGCCTTTAAAATTCCGGTTGGCCGCCCACAGCAGGGCAGGCAGGGTTCCTGCCCAGATCTGTGCAGCTCCTGAGAAGCTGCCAGCATGTCTGTCTGGCTCCAAGGCATAGGGGCAGCCACGGGGGCTCTGCACGCTGCTCCGAGCACCACCTCTGCAGCTCCAATTGGCCGGGAACCCCAGTTAATGGGAGCTGTGGGGTGGTGCCTGCAGGCAGGGGCAGAGCGCGAAGCCGCCTTGCCGCACCTCTGCCTAGGAGCCAGAGGGAGATGTCGCCGCTTCTGGGAGCTGCCTGAGGTGAGTGCCACCCAAAGCCCACATCCCAAACCCCCTCTTATGCCCCAACTCCTTGCCCCATCCCTGAGCTCCTTCCTGTGCCCAAACTCCCTCCCAAACCCCTGCCCCAGCTCGGAGCTCCCTCCTGTGCCCCAAACCTCTCATTTCTGTAGAGCCCGCACCACCAGCCTGGAGCCTGTAACCCCTCCCACACCCTGCCCCAGCCTGGAGACCCCTCCCACAGTCCAAACCCCTTTGCCCCAATCCCCAGCGTAAAGCCTCCTCCTGCACCCCAAACCCCTCATCTCCACCCCCACCCCAGAGCTTGCACCCCCAGCCGGATCTCTCACCACCTCTCGCACCCCAACCCCCTGCCCCAGCCCAGTGAAAATGAGTGAGTAAGCGAGGGTGGGGGAGAGCGAGTGACGGAGGGAGGGGGGAATGGAGTGAGTGGGGGGCAGGACCTCAGAGAAGGGGCAGGGTAAAGTTGTTCGGTATTGTGTGATTAGAAAGTTGGCTACCCTAGTCCTTTGTAAGGCAGTAATGACGTTTCTATGAGAAGCAGGGAATGAGGAGGGAAAGTTGTCTGAAGCTTGAGTCCAGCAGAACTAGCCTTATCTGGATTTTAGCTTTTAGTCCATATTGTATTACAACCTATATTGGTTTCCTGACAGCCCCTCCTCCAGGTTTTTCTGTTTAGGGTAGAGAGTATTTGTATGAAATTACAAGGGGGGATGAAGTGGGAAGAAGATGCAGTAAAGCAGGTATTGGGATCAGAAACACATCTGGTAAAAGGGGGGGATCATGAAGAGGCGTATAGATAAACTGTTACCAGATAAAGGCTCAGTACAAGTACAAGATGTGGTTCCTGAAGTTGATTTAAACAGAGTCTGAATGAGCTCTTCACTGACATCTAGTGATGAGCTGGGGGAAGAGACTTCAGGAACCAACCTTGTTTGCATAAAGAATACAAGATACAAAGGATACAGACTAACACGGCTGCTACTCTGAAACTTGTTTGCATAGACACGCCTTTTGTGCCAAGATGTGCAGCGTGTTGGAGTGGCTTTGCCCAAATGACCACTTTTGGCTGGTGTAGGATTGCAGGTTACTTTGGTGTTGGGTGCAGGGGTGAGGAAAGGTTGTTGTCCTTGTTGTGTGAGTGGGGGCATCAGAACTGTGCTTGGCCTGCCCTGATTGAGAGGGGTCACCCTCAACTAAAGAGCTTCCCCTAAGCAGGTGGCAGGTGTGCCAAAAGCTAGTGGAGAGGGGACATAGAAGGCTGTGATTAAGTGTCTTGATGTTTTTGGTCTCGAGATGTAAACCTTGCCTTTGTTTCTGGGACCTTGAAGTGAAAAAATTCTCTAAGTTATATCTGTTCTTATCAGTTTAATTCTGCTGTGTCTAAGGAGTCCCCTTTTACTCTCTTCTGTTTAATAACTAAGCTGATTGTACTCACTTGGGAGTCTTTTGTTTTGTTACAGATCGCTAGAGCTAAAGTTGCTGATACCCAGGTGTATGTGCTAAGCTTAGACCTGCTGTGGGGCAGTATCTCCAGTCTGCTTTAGTAGCAAGGCTGCTCTTCTAACTGCTGAAAGCACTGAGAGCTGTGTTAAGTAAAGGGACATCAAGGCATTGCAGAGGTTGCAGTAAAGTGGCACAATGGTGGCGTGAACAATGATGCAGACAGAGGCCAGTGGCCTAGTGACTGACAATGAAGCAGCCAGCGGCACGGTGAACGATGAAGCAGTGACAGCAGCAGGCAGCAACACAGCGTGAATGGTGCAGCAGCAGCTGAGGCATTGGTCAGCCCCTCCCCCATCCCACCAAGGTGGGAGGAGAACTCACCGGAACGCTCCTCTGAATTCTGCATCTTTGCTGACCAAGTACAACTGTGAGTGCAGTGTAGTGGAGGGAGAGGGGAGTGGCATGTTAAAGGAACACTTGTTTGTCAGACTCACACTGCAAAGTGAGAACCTGAGGCAAAGAACACTGCCCAGTGTACTGTGGGGTGGGTGTTTGGCTCATGGTCACATGCTTGTGGCATTTCCCCAAATTAATGCTGGCTTCCTTTCCCCTTTTTATTGAAAGGTTTCTTTTCTATACTCAGACTCAGTGCTTGCCAGAGGGGAAGAATTGCCTCTTCGAGGTCCCCAAGGGCAGTGTAATTTTTCCCAGATTGCTGGTGGGGGACTCAAGCCGCTTCTGGGTTATATTGTTAAGAGGGATCCCTAGACATTGAACCCAACCCCACCTGGCAGAAGAGTTACATTTGTAAAAACAGTTACTTCTACTCTAAAGAGCTAATAGAGAAAACCTGCATTGCCAGCTGCTTCCTGGCCAACTAGCCACAGGTCGAGCTCTTTCACGTGGACATCTTGTCTGTTGAGCCAGAGGACTATGTGATGGGTTGAGGAGACCAAACTAGCCAGGAAACATGCATGAATCTAAGGAACACCAAATATTGCAAGAATCATAATAAAATCATGCGAGTTCACACTGCTAACTCCCTTGAGCCCCTTTGAAAACCCCAGTGGAAGAGTAAAACTTTTATTTCAGGATGAGAGAGAGTTCAGTGCAGTGACTTGCTAGCTAACATTCTGCATCTAAACTGAAACACAAAATGGCTACTTCCTCACAGCTGCCCCAACGTCAGAGAGAGTGTTTGTCTACACTGCTGAAAATCTGCTAAAAAAAGCATTGTTCAGAACAATTTCTGACTTCAGATCAAATTCGGCGAGTAGTTTCAGCCAAGCAAAAAAATTGGAAATGTCAAAAAGTGTTTCAACATGTTTGAACTGAACTGTTTAGACATTTTATTTTGAAAATATAGTTTCGCATTGACATTTTGTTTAGAAAATGTCACCATTTCATTTTGACATGTCATTTTAAGTTTTTCATTTCATAGAGAAAAAACAAAACTTCTGGTTCAGTTTGAAACTAATTTTTCCCCCCAGATTTTCAGTTTGGTCACTGAACCAAAATATAAATCATTGACTCAGCTCTATACTCCAGTGCTCTGTCCAGTCTGAGTTATAAATGGCTCATGCTGTTGGGGCTTTATTCAGATTACACCACTGTTGCACTTAGGCTTTGGCTACACTGACGCTGTGCAGCGCTGCAACTTGCTGCGTTCAGGGGTGTGAAAAAACATCCCCCTGAGCGCAGCGAGTGCAGCGCTGTAAAGCGCCAGTGTAATCATTGCCTGCAGTGCTGCACACTCGCTCGCAGCGCTGCAAGCTAATCCCCTCGGAGAGGTGGAGTACATACAGTGCTGTGAAGTTCCGAGTGTAGCCAAGCCCTTTGTAGAGGAAGAAGCAATGATCATGTATCTCTCATGGATATAACCACTCAGCCACTCCCATCCCTGTTAAATTCCCAGTCACCACCCAGCACTTACTCCTATAAAATACTTTACCCAGATCCTTAAAGGTGCCTAAATACCCTTGTGGACCTGGGCCCTTGCAACTTCTTGACATTGAACCCCGACATCGCTATCCCACTGAATTTGTCCCTGTAGATACCCCCAAGTCATTGTGTGACTTTTAGCCTGCTACATACTCAGCTAATCTATGGCTTCTGAAACTGTAAATAAGCAGCCACTCAAAAAAGAAAAAAATACCCTTTATATATCTTGCTCCACCATGTCTTATCCTGTAATCAGGACATTTTTGCTCTGCCGGTCCCCAGCCATTCCCAGTTGCTTTCTTGCTAAGGTGCACACATACATGTGGTCAGATCAAGGCCAGGACACTAGGTTATCTCTGAGAACTGCCATGGGGTGTTTATTTTGCTCTGGTGAGGCCATGAGAGAGTACAGGACAAGGTTGGGCTTAACCCCTCTGGCCTAGCACAAGACCTTGCACACAGCAGGAACTGCACACAGGGATACTACCTATGCTGAAATCTGCTTAGCTGGGGACAAATAAAGCTGGGGTTTAAGGTAGACCCCAAGACGACGACTCCTGAGGAGACCCAGTGCTTGGTAAATGTGACAAACATGGTCAGTAGGGGATCTTGCAGGCTCCAATCATGGAGCAGTGAGGGGGTTGGCATCAGAAGAATGGGCATGCCTGACCCCTGCCTGCTAAGCTATGGGCAAATGTTCCTCTCAGCCAGTTCTTCTAGTCCCCTCCCCCACCATAACACCACTTGCTGTGTGTGTAATCTGCAGGTTACTATAGCCCCCCATAGGGAGCACCAAGGCCAGGGTAGACCAGAACACCATGTTTAGCATTTCATGAAGTCACATCTGCTTGTGTCTTCCCCTGCCCCCCCCCCCCCTTTGTGCTGAGCAGCCTGAATGCATCAAAAAGGAGGTGACCCAGAGCTCCCTCCTCTGCACAAAAGGTAAGGGCATCTCTCCAAATTCTGTACTGCTGAGACTAGAACCAGCAGGGAGGGCAGCAAAGGGAGGGAATCTACAGTGTCTCCCTCAGTTCCCAGCTAACATGATATGCTCAGAATACCCCCACGTAAAACAAACCCTTGGTGTGAACTGGTAGCTAGGACTCTCGCAAAACACTGTGAATGCCAGTTATATTGCACTGCCCCTAATATTACATCCACACTAAGGACCAAGGACAGCCAAAACTCCATCAAAATCCACTCCAGCAAATCCTTCAAAAGGAGCTTGCAAGTGGACAGCAAAAACCAACTGCTGCTTCAGCAGACTGCCCTGCCTGATGTTCCCTGTATGTGAATGGCAATGGCTGTGTCTATGGGCATGGCAACACTGGAAACTTCAAAGCGCTGTCGCGGGAACGCTCCTGGGGCAGTGCTTTGAAGTGTGAGTGTGGTTGCGTGCGAACGCTGGGAGAGAGCTATCCCAGTGCTCCTGGTAATCCACCTCCACGTGCTCCCAGCGCTTGGAGCCTGTTTACACTAGCGCTTTAAAGTGCTCTGACTTGCTGCGCTCAGGGAGGTGATTTTTCACACCCCTGAGCCAGCAAGTTAGAGCGCTATAACATGTAAGTGTAGTCAAACCCTATGTGCAGCTCAAAGATCCCCAGCCCACTGCCCCTCACTGTGGGGCAGCTCCACCCAGTAATGAACCATTCTTGAGTTTGCCTCTTTTTTGTTCTTTGGTACATTCATTCTTTTTGTTTCTTTTGTTCTTTGTTTCATTGTTTCTTAGGCTTTTTGTTTCATTCTTTCTTTCATGTATCCTGTTCCTGTGTTTCCTTCACGGTTTTGAAGGAACTCTTTTTCTTAAGCCTCTTCAGATCAATTCTGCACCCAGAAGAGTAGATTTATTTTTTTAGCTTTAGAATCTCTGAGAGGTACATGAGGCAACCCATTTTTCCCACTGCTGTCTGTCCAGAGCAAATGAGTCACTCCATTGTAAGTTGTCTCCATGATGGCAGCATCATTTTCAATCATCCTGCTCAGAGAAGTAGATGCATTTCCAAGTGAAATTTATGCCAATTACATCCTATTGCGCTCTTTTTGGTTTTCCTCTTTCCCAGGCAGTGAGGTTTCTGGGTGACATTAACTGCAATGGATTGTGTCTCCATTGCAGATACAATCATCTGCAGGGAGGAGTCTGTGTGCTGTAGTAGAAGTCAAAATTGAATCTGGATCTGAACTTAATGTGGAAAAGAGAGGATAGAGGCAGATCTGTCAGAAAGGTGTTTGAGAACTGCCACAGTGTTAAATGCAGGATGGGAGTGATTGGGATTTTATTGTCAGGATTATTTTCCCTTTGTTATAGACAATCCTGAGATACAAGATCGTCGTGCCCCAAAAGACATCTGGGTTCAATCTCTCTCTGCAGACATTGAATGCTTCCTGCACAGCAGCCTTGCAGCAAAGTTTGATCTGCTCCTTTCAGACAAGTCACTTCCCACCATTGCCCCAGCTCCCTGAATGACAAGAACCAGCCAACTGGGAAACGGGGGAGAGGATGGTTTAAAACAGGATTACCGATTATAAATATTGTTACAAATCTGGAGCACCCAAGGACTTCCCTGTTGTCACTCTGCTGAACTGCATGGCCTCTCAGGGCTGCACTATGACTGTGTGCATAGGACTTGGCTTCTCCTACCCCAAAAACCTGGGCCTCAATGACTGGAGTAAAAGGAGATTCTCCACTAGATGTTAGCAGTATAGAGCCTGTGATACACAACTAAGCATTTCTGATTCATCCAACAATGCCCTGCAGTGCATATATATACTAAATAGCTGGGTACAGTGTTAGTGCTGTTTTATAATGGGGATGATTCACCTTTACTCCCTGCAGCCCTTTAGCCCTCCCTGGGCTCAGTCGTTAAATAGTCCCAGCCCTGGTATGGGGCCATATCCCCAGCGCTTCGTCCCTGGAGATATGACCTTCCTACGGCCGGGCTCAGTCCCAGCATCTAGCCAGGAGCTCCTTCTTTGCTCCCCCGGTCCCTACTAGCAAATTGTCTTTGGCTCAGTCCTGGCAGCCAGCCAGGAGCCTCTCGCTGCCCCAGTCCCTTCCCTCACTTAGCTGTCTGTGCGCCTGCTGCTCTTCAGCCAGGCACACACTCCTTTCTTTTCCAGCTCCAAACAGCAATTAACTGCTGATCTGTTCTACAGCTCCTTTTATATGGCCCTCCTGGCCTCTGATTGGCTGTTCTAGCAGCCCCGCTGATTGATTGCTTCCGCGCAACCACTCTAAGCCGCTTGGAGGCTCTCTCCACAGCTCCTTTCCTGGGATGGGTGTGGCAAACCCTGAGGCCTCCAGCAGGGGGCCTTGGGCCTAGTCCAACCCATCACAAGCCCCCAGATAACAAAGTCCAATAATTTTGGATCATGTCCCTGTACTGTGGTCCTAGTGAAACACTTGAAACATTAGCTCCCTCACTCTGCATGGAACTTACTGTGCTTCATGGCAAAACCCTTTCTGTCTCTAGGTGTTTATAGAGCACCAGCACCACAGAAACCAGGCACTGTATTAAGAGGCCTCCACTCAAGCCCTGTCCCTCCAGGGGGCCTTTCGCTACCCTCTCTCTCTTCCATGTCATTAAGTTATCACAGTGCAACAGGTAAATCAGAAAGATCTTCACAGGCTATTCGTGCTCTGGAGCAGAACGTTTCCTCCTCATTCGTGGTCCAGACTAATCCAGTCTCTCTCATTTCAGTTATGCCAGGACGTGCAATAGCTCCAGTATGGCCATTGTTGATGGTAAGATGCTCTCAGGCTTCATCCCTTCAGATCATCCTGGTAAAAGGTAAAGGATGGGAGTGACGTGAATAAACCATCCCAGGAGCAGAGGGGGTTACGGGCTGTTATACCCTGGGCTGGATAAAAAGGAAAGGACCAGGCCAGCCAACCAGCTTTCTGAGCCATGAGGGCATTCACTGGAGCCCACTTGGCTCAGGACACATTGCCATCCCCTTCACTCCATACAACCAGTAACCCACTTAGGCCACACACTCACACACACACACACAGCCAACCAACCTACAGACAGATTTTATAGGTATCTAGGTATTAAAATAAGTTTGAAAATTTGCCTCCAGTGATTATTTTGCAGTTCCCACTTTGACCACTAGATGCCACTGTTGTTTCACAGGAATAGAAGTGGTGAATCATAATATCATCACATAAAGAACAGGAGTACTTGTGGCACCTTAGAGACTAACAAATTTATTAGAGCATAAGCTTTCGTGGACTACAGCCCACTTCTTCGGATGCACTCCTGTTCTTTTTGCGGCTACAGACTAACACGGCTGCTACTCTGAAAAATATCATCACATAGAATATCAGGGTTGGAAGGGACCTCAGGAGGTCATCTAGTCCAAACCACTGCTCAAAGCAGGACCAACCCCAACTAAATCATTCCAGCCAGGGCTTTGTCAAGCCTGACCTTAAAAACCTCTAAGGAAGGAGATTCCACCACCTCTATTGGTAACCCGTTCCAGTGCCATTCACATGGGCATTTCTGCAGGATCTGGGATGCCTCTTATATTTAATGCTTGTTAATAATGGATCCTCTTTCCCATAGCCTTGTTTAAAGCTTCAGGATGATCGTGTGATGATGCAGGTGGAAACCAAGAACACCTGTGTCCCCTTCTACATGGAGAACATAAATTCAAAAAGAAATTTTTCCCTCTGGTGTTATATATGTCTACAAGTTTTAAACAGATGCCTTTGGAAAATTTTTAGTCTCAAGGCCAAAAATCTTAACAAGACAACTGTAAAGAAACTGATCAGGTGAACAGGGACTCTCTGGGCTCTCACCTCTGCCATGCAAGGTGAGAGCCCTATGTATTTGGAATCCACGTCAGTAGGTCTTTGGTAAAGAGAAATTGATATTAAAAGAAAACATCTAATGCTATCCACTGTCCTCCCATTCCCAGGTCTCTCAGAAGAATATCAGTTTATCTTTCTCAGCTGAGCAAGAACTTCCTGTGTCCAACATCAAACCAGTTTCAGTGCTGATCTACGGTTACTATAAAAGAGGTAGGAGGCCTGGCTGAGATCCTTGTCTATTTCCACTAAACTGGGTGATGTTTATTTGCACTTTGCTGTTGGTACCTTACCACAATTGACAAAGGGCCACAACCAGCCTGTGTGTTGGATGTTAGCCCCATGTCCCTCCCAGGTGCGGCCAGTGGACTCACTGGAATTCACCAGACCCTCCGTGTATGTTGTAGCTCTGCCTTGGGAAGGGATCAATCCAAAATGGAGAGATTTCAAGAGAGTTTCATCAAATATTTAGTGACTTACTGAACATGTCAGATTCTGCCCATGAGTTTATAGATCAGCTGTGAAGACAGGTCATTCTGAAACAAGGGAGGCTGTGAGCCAGGGGAACTCTTGGTGCCAACTGGTGGAAAACACAGGGATGCATAAGTGTTACAGGGATCCCCCTGGGCCTGGTATTTACATAGTACTTTGTCAGAGTCTGATGCAAGATCTCTACTGAAATCTTGTGTCACACTGGCCATCATAATCATTGCAAAATTTATGTGTGGTTAATATGTAAGGAGCTATGTATATATAATGAAAATTATGTTTTAAGTTCCGTGAGTTGGGTGCATCTACCAGCAGTGGATAAGCAAGTTTCTTTCAGCCAGAAAATGTTTATCTATTGGTCTGTCTACATTTAAATTGAATATTGTATACTTCAGAATGAACACCTATTTACAGTCTGAGCAAAATACTAATCAAGTGATTGCAAAGTCTCTAGTGAAGACAATGGCTTTTTTTTTTTTTAAACTACAGCTGTAGGGACAGAAACAAACTCTGCATCTTTCCACCGAGGAGGCAAGAGGTCAGCATACTTGTATCATGAATGGAAAATCACAGCCTAGGTTGGCTGTAATACACTGGAAGGATTTGGGGTGAGTTTTTGCTCTGACATGACAAGCAAAGTATAGGCTCTAGAACGCATGTTATGATTTTATTTTATATGTAACACGGTTTCCAAAATTTCTGCTTTTTATCACTTAAAGAGCAGAGATTCCAAAAAAAAAAAAAAAAAACCCTCTCTCTGTAAACAAATCTAAGTGCTGTGTGTAAAGCAGAGCCATGTTCTACAGTGTAACTGACCCGCTGTGCTGTACTGCTCATTGGGAACGGCAGATTTGGAGAAGCTGAGAGTGTCCAGTGGATCAGGGGTTTAGCATTGCAGGTGGATGCTTGGATGGCTCAAGGGTTGGATTGTATCTCTCATTAACCAATAAAGAGAGCAGGGCCTGGAAGGTAGTGCTTGTCTTGCCAGGGGCTGGTGGTGTTGGGGAACTGACCCACAGCAGGTGCAGACAAGGCTTCCTCATGCTCAGGGTGGGGGGTAGCAAGGTCCCTCACATCCATGGATAGCATCACACAGGCTTCAGCTTCTCAAAGGTGTTTGTGAGTTGGGAGTACTCTAACTGGGGCAGGGGACATTTAAGTGGCAGTTACAGCAGTGGTTTGATAGAATGTGACATTTGGGTTTTTTCTTTTCCAGGCAAACACGTCTTGTTGAGTGCCGCACAGCCTGTGGTCAGACATCTCACCCGGAAAGCAGCTGCAAGTCTGCAGCGATTAGAGCAACATGTGAGTGATACTCTACATAGAGAGTGATAAGAGTGGGGAGAGGGGAAGGGGGGGGGGGGAGGAGGAGAGAGTGGGTGGCATGCAGAGATGTAGTTAAATGAAAGGAAGAGCTGTTCCAAATCCAAAATGCTCTGAGACAGTTTGTAAGGTATTTGGAAATGAGCCCATGTCACTGGAAAAATATACAAGATTTTGCAGATGTTGGGCTTGGAAATGAATCCCTTTTTACAGTGAAAATAAACCTATTCCTGAGCAGAAAATGGGCCCATCAGGTGGGATTTTCAAAAGCAACTAAATGACTTAGGAGCACATGTGCTATTGAAAGTCAGTGGGCAGTGTACAGCTGAGGCACTTTTGAAAATCCCACACATCAGCTGAAGGTGACTCTGGGATCGGAATTCTTGCATATTCAGGATTTGAAATGTCTCACGGTGTTGATCCTGTAACAGCCACTTCAGGGAGCTTAATGGAAAAGTGAAACATGTGGGGCATGAAATTGTCTAAAACATGGTGAAAATCTCTGTGCTGAATTCTACAGCTGCAGTTTCATGCAGCTGCAGTGGTTTGTAGAGCAGGAAACAAAAGGAAGTGGGATTAAGTGTGGATTTTTTCCCTCCTGGCACAACTAGAATTCCCGTTAAAGCCAATGGAGCAGAGTCTGATCTCTCGCTCCAGCATAGATCAAGCGTAACTCCCATGAAGTCCACAGAGTTACAACAGTGAAGGAGAGCGCATGGGTGGGGCCCAATGGGTGGGGATGTAGGATTGCTCTGCATGGGCCCAAACAGGCTGATGTTTCATGTAATTAATAGAACCCCCCTTTCAGGACTAGCCTGTTTAGCTGTACAGAATGACATTTTCTGGGGAGAAAATTGGGTTCTTTTTGGTGCAGACTCCCCCTTTTCATTGCTGTGACAGAGTGCTGAGGTCTGACCGGTGGGACAGCAGCTGCATGGCTTTAGCCTCAATTAGTTCCCCCAGGGATAGCTGCTAGTGCAATTAGCCAATCAGAAGGAGAGGCTGGGGAGGTAAGAAACAAATTAGACCTCAGCTGGCTAACCTGATACATCAGGAAGGAAATGCTACAAGGAAAGGATGACTTGGCTAGCTGAGTCCAGACTGAAAGAGTTCCCAAGACAAGGAAATCTCTTCCTCCTAGGGCCCTGGTAAAGATGGACTGAAAGATGTAGGATTAAAAACTGTGATGTTGCCCTGTACTAGTGTTGGTGGAAGGGTTTGGAATAAAATACAGACTGAACACTAAAAGAAAGTGGGTCTGAGCAGTTTCTAGAGCATCAGAGGATGGACAGAGCATCACCCTGTTACAATCACTCATGGGTTTTACTCTGTGTTTTTTTCTTCTTCACAGGACAAACATGGAATGTGACTGAGGAAAGAAGCCAGACAGCTTATTTACCTCTGACTATAGACTCTTAGTAAATGTTACACTTACAATCTGATTGACTGCATGCTGTGACTGTCCAGTGGTAACTTGGCTAGATTCAACCCTAGTGTTTATATCCCCTCCATGAACTCCCTCCAGCTCTATAAGACCACACATGACCCTGGTTCCACACAGACTGAGAACAGTAGTTGGTCAAAGCATGTAACATTCCCCATAATAAACTTCTCAAATTCCACATGCCTGGGTCCTGGTTATCTTGTTCTCTCTGCACACTTTAGTGGCATGAAACTGAAGAACACTTATTGCTAGTAAACTCAATATTATTGCACTACAAAAGGGAAATGCTAACTTATGAACACCCCAGCTGACCAATTCCAAAATTTCAGGGAATGTTCTAGGCATCAGTGGGCAGAACCTTGCAGATTTTGAAGAAACATGGATAACTGGAAAAGCCTGATTTCTACTGGTGCATGTGTAATTTAAAGTCAGGCCTAAAGCATGCCCATTTGCTGCAGGCAGAGAAATCTCTGGTGCCCCCTGCTGCTGCCTACACAAATCACAGGCAGTGTGTTTAATACGCTGCTGTCTCTCCATTAGGTGGATTGCTAGGCCTATGTAAGCAATGATGTGTGCAATTTTTAGTTAGAGCGAGAGGCAATCCCAAAAAGACAATAACAAAAGGGTAGTGGAGTTGTGCATGACTCTTGGGTGAACCATCAGGAATATTGTGGGCAAGGCAAAGTATCTATTTCACAGCTCTGCCAGTGGCCCTCAGGCCTGCCCTGCAGCCCCTGCTATTCCAGTCCTGGCCTCCCCACTCAGCTCTGCCAATGCTTCTCAATCCTGCCCTGCAGCCCCCCTGCTTTTCCAATCCTAGTTGGATTTTAAGAGCACTATTTCACTAGGTCTTCCACAAATTTCCATCCTACATAAAACCTGAGCACTGGGATTAAAAAAACCCACACACCTCTCCTTTGCGAGTAAGGGGAAGGTAAATAAGAAGAGGACTGTACCATTTAAAGGACAAAGCATCCCTTTGCCTTGTCCACCTCACAACACCTTCCCAATTACTCAGCCCATTACAGGGAAAACAAAAGGAAAGTTGGCACCACTGCCTTTAGTCTCATTCGGCACTGAATCAGTCACCCCCTCCCCTCCACCCCCTTCCTTTCCTTGATCCTTGTCCCTAGGATGTACGAGCTTTAGGTCAATGCTCAGTTCAGAGAATACCGCAATTACCCTAATGCAGGATAGGATCCACACAATCAGTGAGTTGCTTGTGTCTGATACAGCTGGAGCCAGTGATTATGGGGCCCCTGTCATGTGACTGTCCCCTTGTCAATCGGACCCACATCATGTTTTTGGGACCAACACATACAGTCTAGATTGTTCCCTGTACCCCTTCATATCAGAGCATTAAAACAAGGAGGGGAGGTCCTGACTGACCACTAGATAGTGTAGCAAGGCACCTCCTCCACCCTAACAGGCTCACTGCTTCCCCCTCTGGCAGTGGGGGCCTGGAGTAAGTCAGCCCCACTCTGGATGATGTTTATTCTCCTACTTGAGGTTTATTTCTCAATAGTTTCCAAGTAGGTCTCAGAGCAGGCCCAAGGAGTGCCCCTCCACCAAAAAAAAAGAAACATGTTCATAACACAAACCAAAGGGGAATACCTTTTCCTACCCCTCTCCGGGGGCATGTGGCCTCTTATTGGTCCTGGAGTACCAGTTCTTCCCCTAAACAGGCAGGGAGCTTCCACAGTAAAGAGACAAGCAACCATCCAACCTGGAGAAGCCTTTCTCCCTGCTGCTACTAGCCCTGCAGCAGCTTGTCTCTCACCTGAGGAGTGGTTTTTAAAAGTCTCAGGTAGTCCTTAATGGGACTCAGGTGTCCCTACTTGACCTGAGGTTATAAGGAAAAGGGTCTTTCTCATTCTGGGGCTAATATACCCATCCACTTCCTGGAATCCAACAGGACCCTGCTCTTACATCTCTCCAGCCTGACTTTGTCACAATAGTAACAAGCTAACAAGGCTGACTCTAGGATTAAATGCTGTGGGCATGCCTACATGGCCCTGCAGTTTGAACTACAGTGGGGTAAATAGCAGTGCACGCTAATGTGCTACACTGTAACCGCACTGTGTAGAGCGGGGTGGGCAACTACAGCCCGCGGGCCACATCTGGTCTGCGGGACCCTCCTGCCCAGCCCCTGAGCTCCTGGCCCAGGAGGCTAACCCCCGGCCCTTCCCCCGCTGTCCCCCCTGCCCCAGCTCACTGCGCTGCTGGCGTAATGCTCTGCGTGGCGTGCTGTGAGCTCCTGGGGCAGCGCAGCTGCAGAGCCGGGGTTGCATGGTAGCTGCGGCATGGCACGGCCCCAGCCTGGCGGCATGGCTGTAGTGCCGTCAGCTATCAGTGCTCCAGGCAGCGCAGTAAGGGGGCAGGGAATAGGTGGGGTTGGATAGAGGGCAGGAAAGTTCAGGGGGGTGATTGGGATGGGGGTGTGGATAGGGGTCAGATTGGTCTGAGGGTGGGGAACGGGTTGAATGGGGGAAGTGGGGGCAGTCAGGAATGAGAGGAGGGGTTGGATGGGATAGCGGGGAGCAGGCAGGGGTTCTGGGGGTAGTCAGGGGACAGGGGTTGTATGAGGCAGGAGTCCCGAGGGGGGGGGGCGCAGATGGGATGGGGGGTGGGCCACGACCCCCTTCCCTAACTGGCCCTCCATACAATTTCCAAAACGCGATGCGGCCCTCAGGCCAAAAAGTTTGCTCGCCCCTGGTGTAGACCTTGTGAGCGCAAACTATAAGTTACGTAGTTTGCATTAATGTAGTCCTGTTTCAGGAGTATGGCAGTGCAAATTTTGTACCTTTTATTTGCACTTGCAGGGTTTATGTGGGGCAGTTACAGCAAAGAATACTAGTGCGCAGTGCAGTTTGCACCCCTCTAGTTCAAATTGCAGGGCCATGTAGTAAGCCCTTAGAGAAAAAAATAATGAAAATACAGTAATGATTAGTGTAGACAGCATTTCCACCAATAGATGGTGCTGTATCTTTATCTTAGTGTTATGTTGTTGTCTTGTGTGTTATGTTGTTGTATCTGATGAGGGGAGTTTAGCTGGGAGTTCAGTCCTGCCTGTGGTGCTGCAGTTATTACTTGCAGTGTCCCAATAAATACTTTGGGTTCTACAAGCAAGTATTACAACTGGTGGCACCAGCTTCAAGATGGCAAAAGCAGATTTGCCTGAGAAGAAATGAACTGATCTTGCAGACGAGACTGGAGTCTGTGAATAGTTGGCAGACTTTAAGCTGTTGCTCTCTGTTAATGAGTGGTCTGGTGAAAAAGCAGCACATACCTAGCAGTGTGTTTGGATGATGACTACAACTAATTTTACCTTCCCTCTGTGGATCATGTTTTTTATAGACAGTAACAAGAACATTTGTATGACCACCATGGGGGGAGATGCATCTTTTTGAAATACTGGAAGGAATGGCAAGCCAGGAAGTGGCAGGGAGGGGAACATCTGAATCTGGAACTGGCAATGCAGAGAGGGGGCCTATGCCTAGTGGCGAGCTGTGAGAGAATCCCATTTATAAACTGTTCAACAGAGGAGCTTCATAAGCTGATGATGAAGAAAGATCACATACTGGACAAACCTAAGGGCCAAATTATACACAGAATTACAAATGTGGAAGCAGAAAGTTATGTTTCCTTAAAGGGATCAGCTGTTAATTCCCAGCCCCAGTGTGACTCCTGTGCAGCAACTCTAGAAAAGATTGCAAGGGAAATGGCTAAAAAATTGGAGGAGGCCCAGGTGCAAGCTATGCACGGACCTCTGGTAGGTCAGAGAGAGACTGTTTCCCGAGTGGGTCCCAGGCCAGATGACGTTTGCGGGTGATGCAGAGGCAAAGACCTTGGGAGATGAAATTGCCCAACAGTGGGAAGCCACACCCAGAAAAACTAAAAGTTGCTGCAGCAGTAGGGCCACCCTACTAAATGGGCTTTTATTGTGGTGACCGACATTTCCAATGATGTTGTACTGGGAGTAGATTTCATCTGAGGGAATCACAAAATCCTGGTGTGGATGCTGGGGGTCAACTTCTGGACCTTCAAGATGCCTCTACCATGCCTACAGGGTGATAGCCCTGTGGTAGCTCAGAATAAAGCAGCCGTAGAAGGCAATGAAAGGACCTGATTAGAACAGCTGCTTTAATGGCATGCTAGTGTGTTTCCCAAGGTTTTCATTATTCCTGGAAGATAGGATCGGATGCAATATCAGACCATTCTTAAGCCTGGGATTGTTCCAGTGGGACAACTTCAGCCTGGAGCTGCAGGAGGAGCAAAGGTGGGGGTGAGGTGGGAGGGCAGAACTGATGTGGGGCCAGGATTGAAGCAGGGTTGAAAAGCAGAATGAATTGCTGGGCAGGGGACAGGCTGATGTGGGGGTGAGAGTTCCCATAGCAGGAGCCAAAAATCACCTTGATAAATTCAGGCTAGAGGGCTACACTAATTGTCATACGGACGTGGACACACACACGGATGGACTGACCCAGATGCACTGGGTATAAGCAGGGGGCGTTCAACAATCAAAAGTTAGGCAAAAAATGCAATACAATATTTTTTTAAAAACTTGGTTTGGGGCCAATGTAATGATTTTTGGGCCCTGACTCATTATTTTTGAACTTTGGGGTTGGCAATACTGGAAATGTCACAGCTATAACCCCTATGGAGTGTGAAAGGGTGGGAAGAGGGCACGAGGGTGGGAGAGAAGGAAGAGGGGAGGCTGATATGAGAGGATGTGGAAGGGGCACAGCTCAGCAGGGAACCCTGCTGGCAGTTGCCCAGCTCCACAATGTTTAAGGCCTGTCCATTACCTGTGTAATGGAAACCCCGGGCCAAGCAGCTGCAAAGAGTGAGACAATCACCAGCCCCCAAACTTTTCCTTTGCTCCAAAGATTGGAGGGAGTGTGGTTCAGCTGCCCTATAGGGAATCCCACCAGCAGATGGTCAGTCATTTACTGTGTGTTGGCCTAGCACCATGCTCATCATAGCCAGAGCAGCAGCAGTTCACCCTGTGTGAGCTGCAGGTCTGCTGAGCTGATCCCACACTCTCCCAGTAGGTGGGGGCACACTCACTGATCAAGGAACACCACCTGGCAGCATAAGACAAGGTTCAGTCACCAAACAGAAGGAACAAGAAGACAAAAAAATAAAAATTAAAATGTGAATAAAAAAATCAAATAT